TAATTTCAAACTATGTTTATCTATAACTTCAAATTATCTATAATTAGATAATTAAAGGAGAAATAGTTAGTAATAGCAAGACCAAAGAAACTTGAGCGCACCTGAGCTCAGTCGAAAGGTTAGAATAGCCTTCCATAAGTAACACTTGCTTAATATAATAAGAGCTCCGATAATATTATATACATACACATATGCGGTTTCCATAAACAATAATGCTGGTATTATTTAATATTTAATTATATATATTGCAACAATATAAAAATAAAAATTGTATATATATATAAAACAGTGCTTAAACAAAAAGAAATACCCACAACAAAATATAAATAAGTATACAGGGACCTTATTTATTAGTGGCACTCTTGTTGGACTAAAAATATTTTGTAATACTTAATTATTTTTTATAATCAAATAAATGATTCAAATATACAGTCTTGAAAGCAAATGGTTATTGATGAAAAAAAAAAAAATACATTAAACAGTTATGAAAAACATAGGGTAATTAATTGTTTTAAATAATATTTTGTATTGTCTATAATTTTTACTTTATTTTCATCTGCCAAGTAAAGGGTGGTAAGTGAAAGTTGTGTGATACATGCACATCAGATTTTTTTCTAAATTTTCTGATGGTTTTTATGAACATATTGAAGTTTTAGTCAAAATATGATTTCGTTGTTGGAACAATCAATTGATTTTTAATGTTAACATTTTTTCTATCTTATTTGTTTATCACAATTTATTCAGTCATAATAAATTATTGTAATTTCAGACAGAGTGCACAAGTAATGAAGAAATGTGTAAGGTGAAATCATTTAAATTAGACTTGCTTGATATAATAACCATGCAACTGTAGTAATAATACACAATAAAAAAAAGAACCAAATGTCTTAGAAAAGTTTGTATTTATACTATAAGAGCATATCATAATACATTTTGAAAAAAAAAAAATAAGAAATTTAATATCTTTAAATGTCCCTAAACTGACACTGGTTTATTTATCTATTACTTCACGATATATCTAATACATAATACATTCTTTTAATATAACATAATAAAAATCAAATAAAGTCTTAAAATATACTATTTATACTCTAAATAGCACATACTTATGAAAAAAAAATAAAAATAAAAAAAAAGGAAAAAATAATGAGAATTACGCCTTAGAAGAAATTCAAAAGTTGTTACTTTGACGAGAAATGAAGAACACAAAACTTGTGTGTGAACAATCATGAGCTACTAAAACTTGGGCAAACTTCTAATACTCAATGTTATCGACACCACAAATGATTGATTGAAATCAAGTGTGAGTAAAAAGTGATCATAACATAAAAAAAAAAAAAAACACTAACAAAACAAAATGATTTTGCTAAATAATAATACACCAACAAACACAGCAAAACCAGTGAAGAAAATGACTGGGGCATTGAATTGGGAAATATTACCGCATGTAACTTATTCACCACACTTGGTTCCGTCCAATTAATATTTATTTTATTGATGGGGCCTTGTTCTTATGAAAGATTACAAAAATGGTTTGATGAATGGTTCACTACAAAAAAGCAACAGTTCTTCTGGCATGCCATTCATAAATTGCCAGAAAGAAGAGAAAAATATATTGCTAGTCATGAACAATACTTTGAATAAACCATTTTTTAACCTTTTTATACAATAAATGTGTATTTCCTATATTAAAATACCAGTTTCATGTTTTACCTGGTAATGGATTTGAAAAATGATTTAGAAGAAATTTTAATGAAAATCAGATACAACGTTAAATAAAAAAAAGGTCAGCTGTTTCTTATATTACTATCTATAAACCATCTTTACCTTCGCAGGGCCTTGGATCCTGTTCTTGCTCGCCATCGCCGCATTTATGAACCTATTATTTTTACTGGCAGAGAAATCTTTGAAGGAAGGACTGTTATCTGGCAAATTGTAAGGTTGGGCAACCTCACTTAAGAATGTCTGTTTTGAAAATCTGAAATTAAAAAAAAATTTTCACTAGTTTGTCATTCCTATAATAATATGAATTATAAAAATATAATGTAATAATTGAAATATCTGAAAAATAATTTTTGAATATAAAAAAAATGTGATTAAAACCAGTTTCATATAAAAAATTATGCAAATTATTTTAAAATATTGTCTCTTTAAGATTTTTTTTTTCCATTTATTGTTGACAGAATTTGGAATATAAAATTAAATCTTCAATAAAAGTAAAAAATCTTCCTGAAGCATACAAATAACCAACAAAAATGTAGAATAATTCACAAATAGAATTCTGCATTTACTGTAAATTTTTTTCCATTTTTTTTTTCGGGAAAGAACGTTATATGCATAAATTTATAAGGCTTCAAGGAGAAGACTTTAGGCAATTTTCATTAAAATTGTTAAAAGCCATTTTGGTGCCACAGTGCCGCTGACACACATTTTTCAGCCAGGGATTGCAGGATTGGAAGTTTTATTTAGTGGAAGTTTGTAAGGATAAGTTATAGATATGATAAAGGATAGGAAGAATGGAGGAAAGCGAGGATTTGATCAGTTTAACTGGGATGTTATCTGGTCCAAAATCATTGGTTTGGGATTTACGGATAGGTTTAAAGGAGGTCTTCAGGGGTATTAAAGAAGGAAGATTGCCGACTTGGCTTTGGATATTGGGAGTGCTGGATATGAAATTATGAAAATTAATTATAATTCATGCTATTATTTACCCAAGCTGCAAATTTCCACCGAAGAGGGGAACATTCTTCAAATGCTGTATACACCTTTCGACTGACACGCTGTCTCCCATTTGAATCATTGCACAACCTTCTTTAGTCTTCAAAAACTTGATCTGAAAAATGTTATCAATTATATTTATTTTTCACATGGTAACTAATAACATCAGGATGTTAAAAGAGAAAAAGATTATCAAGTCAATCAGTATAGCTATGCAACCATTTTTATTTGGTACGCATAAATTTATTTATAACAGAATAGAATAATACAATAAAAACACTCCTGATAAATCACATTAACTTTAAAAAGTAATATAAACTCAAACGAATATTATCTTTTTTTTCTTTCTTATACAATTAAATCTGTACCTATAGCTACAATAAGATAATAATGTGTTTACATATCATTCATTATTTAAATACTCTGACATTTTATATTGCCAGATTTCGTCTTTCTTTGTTAGCAGAAACACAGAGCTTATTTTAAAGAACTCACTGTATTTTTTTTTTCTCTCAAAAGTGCATAATAATTTTTCCTACTGTACTCCTACTGTACTGTACTTTTTCTTTTTTATTATTGTTCTATTTAGGCCAGATGTAATCTTTTAATTCTGTACTATTTTGTTATTCTAAAGGGTTGGTTAGGGGTGGATACTCAAAAAGTTAGAGATAAACTGTTATATTTGAATAAATATAGATTTCATAATCAAAATAATTTATTATGTTCTCTGTCTAAACTATCGGTAAAAGAAGATATTTATCATTTTATTGCTGTGTACCCCATTCTGGCTGAATTTAGAGTAAAATATTTTAATAAAATGAAATATATTAAAATAAAATATATTTATTTTAATATATTTCATTTTTTATATGTTCTTAAATATCTTTTTCATTTATTACTATATCTATCTATCCCCGACCCTTTTCTCCATCTATATTAGTGACCTTCCTAACGCCATTCAACACTCCAGTTACCACCTATATGCCGATGATTTCCAAATATACCAATCATTCCAACCTTCTGAGATGCCTGAGGCTGCCCGGAGGCTACAAGAGGACATCGACTGCATCAACAGATGGGCAGAAATAAATGAATTAAAGCTGAATGCAGATAAAACCAAGGCTATTATCATCGGGTCCAGACATCTCATCAGCTCCCTTCCTTACTTTCCTCTACTTAACCTCAATAACCGTCCCATCCATTTTTTCCCTACAGTCAAAAACCTAGGAGTAACCTTTGACCAGAACCTCTCCTGGAATAACCATATCTCCCAGATTACCCGAAAATCCATAACTGCCCTTAAACAACTCCTAAGATTCCGTGATTGTATTCCTCTAAAAACCAGACAGCTCCTTGTATTCCCCCACTTCGACTACGGCTGTTTGGTGTATGGAGGGCTATCTGCCAGGCTGGAAATGAGACTAAAGAGACTCATGAATTGTTTCATAAGATACATTTTCGGGATCCCCAGGCGTTCACATGTTTCACTCTGGTACACCGAGTTGAAGTGGCTTTATCCTACTTCCCGACGACAATTCCTCCTTGGTGTTTTCCTTTTCCAAGTCTTCAGAACCAAAAACCCTCCCTACATCCTGGAACTCCTTACTCTGCGCTCCTCTATCCACTCTCTCAATACTAGGTCTCAACCTATAGACTTATATATTCCCTCCCATAAAACTTCCTCCTTCAGCAAATCCTTCGTCATTCGTGCTGCTTCCTTATGGAACTCACTTCCTACCTCCATGCATCAATCCTCGTCCACAAATTCCTTCAAACAACTCCTGTTCCAACACCTACTCCACATTCAAACTTCCCCTAACATGTAAAATTACTTGCATCTGTACAATGTTTAATTTCAATCCATTGCACAATTGAAATAACAATTAACAGTAAATTAGTTGGTATTTTTATTATGTCAGACTAAGATACATAAATTTGTAACTCTGTTATTATTCTTAGGGGACAGTAGTCCCAGAATAAAATTATTTTTTCATTTCATTTTCATTTTTCATTTCATTATCTATTATAAATTTTTAATTATTAATTTTTTTTTATTTGTCCTCTAAAGAGTTTACAAATATAACTGACTCATCGACTGATGACCCTAGGGTTTTACAAACAAACAAACATGCCATACAAGAAAAAAAAAACTACCTTCTATCACCGCTTCATGGAACTTATGATCTACAAGGTTACAAGACTATTAATAAAAATATAAGTAAAATACAAGTGATTACGTACCCTGATGACATTTCCATAAAGACAGAAGAGGTTGAAGAGACGCTCGGGATTAGCCTGCTGGGGGTCGAGTCCGTAGGCCATGAGAACGCAACCAGAGCCGCCTTGCGATCCACCGTTGGCTGGAGCCGAGAACGCCCGCGGTCCAGGTACAAGCGGCTCCCTGCCGGGCACAGCCTTCATGAACCTACTATACATCAATATCCAAATCTCAGCACCCTGCTCTTACTATCAGGGGCTTATCACCGGCAACCACAGAAATTCACTCTTACCATCTTCACTCAAGGTATATCTTGCTTTTTTTTTTATTATTAATAATTTGATAAAATAAAAAAATAAATAACTATGATAATTTGTCCATGCATGTATTTCAATGATGAACTACATACAATATAAAAATTTAAATAATTATTTTTCTCTATCTATTGTTGCCGGGTAGCCCAAAAAATAAAAAGAAAGAAATTAGTAAAGATTAAACAATTTCTATATGAGCTCGGGAAGTGGCAGACCATTAACTCTTAAATTTGTTAAATAATAAAAAAGATAAATAAATGTAATGGCTGTTAACCAAATTTCCAAGATGCATCGACAAATTATAAATATATAAAAGTAATGTTATATTATCTTACAAAAAGTTAAAGTGCATTTATACTGAACATATATAAAATAATAAAATATAAGTGATAATGAAGATCTTAAACAATATTAAACTTATTTAAAAAAAAAAAAAAATTACAAATAATAAAAGCAGATGGGTGTGGGTAAAATGGTTGACTGTCGTGAATAATGAAGAGAAGAATATTTGTGGTGATCAGTCAAATAAGAAGGCAAAAATAAATGATAATATTTATTTTGACATTTGCCGACGTTTCGACCTGAAGTTCAGGCCTTCATCAGGGCTAAGAAAAGAACCAGATAACAAGGTATGAGAAACATAAGTAGTGATGGTAAAAAAATTAAAGTAGAATGAAGTTGTTAGAATAATGACAATAGTAAGAACTAAGAGATAAATAATAATAACCGTTACAAAGTGTGGAATGATGAAGTAAACATAATCAAAAAAGGTGACATAAGTATTAAAATGGGAATCTTAGAATAAAATGTAAAACAGAAAAAAGGAATGTGAAGTTATATAAGAAATGAAAATAAATAGTAAAATTAAGACATTGAGAATAGAGTAGAGTTAGATAGAAAATTGAGATATTGTAAAGTCTATCAAGATGTACAGACAATGTATAATATAATAAAGATTTAAAACAGAGAAAAGGAATGAAAGGAAGGAGGGAAGAAACTGAGAAAGTTGAAATAAGAAATAAATAAAAGAAAAAGTACCTGTCTCCACCAGTGTTGCACGGATTTCTCAATGTCTTAATTTTACTATTTATTTTCATTTCTCATATAACTTCACATTCCTTTTTTCTCTTTTACATTTTATTCTAAGATTCCCATTTTAACACTTATGTCACCTTTTTCGATTATGTTTACTTCATCATTGCACATCTCGTAACGGTTATTATCATTTATCTCTTTGTTCTTACTATTGCCATTATTCTAACAACTTCATTCTACTTTAATTTTTTTACCATCACTACTTGAGTTTCTCATACCTTGTTATCTGGTTCTTTTCTTAGCCCTGATGAAGGCCTGAACTTCAGGTCGAAACGTCGGCAAATGTCAAAATAAATATTATCATTTATTTTTGCCTTCTTATTTGACTGATCACCCCAACTATTCTTCTCTTCAATAAAAGCAGATATTGGGATAGATCATGGGGCTTCACTCAAGCTTCTTCGAGACAGTGTGAAGGTTCTTATAGTAAGGTACATAAAATTACAGTGCGAAAGTTAACAGGTATGATTTTACAGAAATTTATTTAATATCAATTATTTGTAACATTTACTTTTGGATAATGATTAAAATTTGTTAAATTTAATATTAAAATAGCTTTGAATTTCTAAGTTATGATAAAGCGAACATTATTTGAAATATCTAGATAATTCAAGAACTGGTGGTGCCAATACAAATTTATCAGTACTATTTATACAAACAATAATAATGCTAAAAGTAAATGTATTTATTGTAAGGCCTGCCACTTACCCGAAGTCATCAGACATATTAAAAAAGATCCACTTCATACGGTACAGGGTAGAGTTTTGGATAGCGTTACTGGAAAAAAGGAAAGGTTAAAGGAGAGGAAGATTATCTTATCATCAAAAAGCTTAATAATATTAATTAAATAAATTAAAAAAAATAATAAGGATCAATACAGGATGTCCACGATTGCAGGTTTTTGCATACTTTTATGATGTATTGCTCATGTCATCTAGTATAAAAAGCCTGGCAAACATATCTCCACAAATTCTTCGTATACATTATTTTAAGGCCAAGATCATATATATGTGATCTTGTTATTTTAACATAATTTGTTGACTCTTATTTCTAATAATAAACTTAAGTTTGTTTTTTTTTATTTTCCTACCTATACTAGGTAAGGAAAGTATTGCGATCGGGTCAAAATTCTGATATGCGGTTTTGACGGATCTATATGTTTCAGAGCCCTCTGAGTAAAAAAAAAAAACATTTTTAGCCATTGGTCTGTCTGTGCCAAGATTTACTTGGGAACTAGAGAACCGATTTTTTTTTTTTTTTTTTTTTTTTGTAGGGTTTTGACTACTAATGCCTGTGACACAAATTAGGTGCTCCGTGAGCAATAGCTGTAAATAAATAATATAAAAATAAATTAAAAACATGTTTTTCTATAGGCTGTAGAAAAGTGTTTTGGAACCTAACTAAATGGTAAAATTTATAATAAAATTTTTTAAAGGTAATTAAATTATGAAAAAAAAAAAACATGTTCTGCTGAAGTTGCTTATATACAGGGTCTTTCAGGGTCGAGTGGCTAAACTGCAAAAATGAATTAAGGACCTCAAAACAAGAAAAAAATTTCCTCTAAAGGTATGGGCGCAAACGCTTTGTTTAGATGTTCAAACCTAAAGATTTTCCTTGTTATGAATTATTTATGTTATATGAAATAAATAAAACCTATTTATTTGTTAATTACTTTATTAATTAAATGTAAACCTCCCCCCTACCAGATTCCAATAACCTCATTTCCCTCCCTGTGACTCCAGATGATCTTCATGACCATTTTTTATCTTTTGCTTCTATTCCTTCTCCTACTCATGATATTGAACACCACAATTTCAATCCTGAAAACTTTTTTTTTTCCCATGTGTCCTACGACGAAGTACTTTCCACTATCGTCAAATCCCACACCAATGATTATGGTCCTGACAATATTCCAGTAAAACTATTATTATTCGATCCTCTTCCCTATGGAACTCCATTCCTCCCCTCCCCACATCCGTCAATCCAAAACCCTTCCAACCTTTAAATCCCAACTGTTTAATCATTTCTTATCCATCCAGTCCTCATAAAATTGTAAATAGTTACTACTGTTAATATGTATAAATTATTAGATCGTTCTTTATTATTTTTACTTCATGTCTATTTTCAATTTTTTATTATTAAATGATGTAAATTAGAAAGTAACTTATAATTTCTCTTATTATTTTTTTTATTTATTTATATATATATTTTATTTTTTTTTTACTATTTAATCAAACTATATTCTTGTTTATGTATCTCTGAGGCTCCTTAGCCCACATTTTTGTCTCTCTGTATTATTCTAAAGGGACTCATCCCAGAATAAAAAGAGCATCATTATTATTATTATTATTATTAAACATTAACATTCATATTAAATGTTGTTCAAAGTGAAGGTATGGCCGCAAACGCTTTGTCTATGAGATGGATTAGATAGGATACTAATATGGCCTTTTATCCCTAACTGTATAAAAACTATGGGCAACATAAGGATTAATACTATTTGGAATTAGCATTGGGAACTCTCAATAACATTTATCAGTTTGTAAGAGGCTTTTGCAAAGTACTCATTGTGCCTTCTATTTATAGTAATGGTTATGGTAGCTAATGCTGCCCGTCATGAATATACCAGGCGCTTTCCGAATATAAGTTTACCAAACAAGTCTATCATTAAATCCACATTTCAAGGCCTTAGAGAAACTGGTACATTTGCTATACTACAACGTGCTGCTTGTATTTTTGCTCCTTTACGAAATGAAGAAAGGAGTAGGACCATATTACAATATTTTGATGATAATCCCTCTGGCAGTGCAGCGAAGAGCTGAAGCAGAATTAAATATTATACCAACTACAGTATGGAGAACTCTCATTGCAGATGGACTTTACCCATATCATTATCAACAGGTACAAAATTTATTACTGCAAGATTTTCGACAAAGAAGAAATGTTTCAGATTGGTACTTAAATCAAGTTGAGCATAATCCACCATTTTCAGGAAAAATTCTCTTCACAGATGAAGCTACCTTTACAAGAAGAGGTATCTTCAATCAGAAAAATAATCATCTCTGGTCGCAGGAAAATCCCCATGCAATTCTTAAGCATCATTTTCAGCACCAGGAATAATAGAAAATATTTTAATAGGTTCGCATTTCTTGCCACCTCGATTCAAAGCAGGCACATTTCTGGAATTTCTTAATAATGAATACTATGATTTAGTTGAACATATTCCACAACAACTGAGAAGGGACATGTGGCTTCAATTAGATGGTTGTCCTGCACATTACGGAAGAGGTCCACGACAATGGCTAAATGTTAATTATCCCAATCAATGGATTGGCCATGCAGGACCAGTGGCTTGGCCTGCACGCTCTCCAGACCTGACACCACTGGATATCTTTGTTTAGGGAGACATTTAACAAAAAGTCTATGCAAGCCCGGTCCATGACCTTAATTCCTTACAAAGAAGGATAATTGAATCGTGTGAAACAATAACACAAATCCAGTGCCGTTTTAACACTGCTGCTGTCGAAGAAAGGTGCCGAGCCTGTCTTAATGCTCAAGGAAATCACTTTGAAAAATATTTAATATGAATTTTATGTTTACGTTAAATTAATAAAGTAGTTGGAACAAATAAATAAATTTGATTTACTTAATATAACGTGGATAATTCATAACAATGAAAATCTTTAGGTGTGAATATCTCCTAAACAAAGCGTTAGCAGACATACCTTCATAGGAATTTTTTCTCTTGTTTTAAGGTCCTTAATTCATACTTTCAGTTTGGACACTTAACCCTGAAACACCCTGTATAT